AGGTTGGTCGGGACAATTTGGACAATAAGTCGTTGTTTTCTTCAAATTCTTTTGTGCCTTTGTTCGGTCCATTCGACGTCTTTTATTTGCATAACATAGTTTGCACGCGCGTCTAATGCTTCTTTTGGAATCGTTTTTCCATGCATAACATAGTTTGCACGCGCGTCTAATGCTTCTTCCGGAATCGTTTTTCCGAACGGCGATATTACGCTGACTCCGTCGAAGACAAGGACTTTTTGTATTTTCAGACAACCCTAATAATTTTGCAACTAATAATCGTCTAAATATTCTAATATTTATATTTTTTCTTGTTGCAATTTCGTAAACTGTCAAAGCGTTTACAATGGAAATTCCCAGAAAGAATCGAATGCCAAGTTTTCTGTACCATTTGATTCCTTTTCTAATTGTGGTGGCATAAGAAACCATTTGGTCGGAATAATCTATACCACGCTTTCCCTCGTTATATTCGACAACAGCTAGTGGTTTTAATGTTGCGAACAAACGAAACGAAAGATCATTCTCGAGACCACCACCTGAGCGATTCGCGTTACTAAAATATCGATGGGAGCACCTAGCAGAGAACGCTTGGTACTGCTGTACGCGTGGCCTGATGGAGATTTCTTTGAAAACACGCGTGGCAGCCAACGTGTTAACAACGTGTATTCTAATTACGAAATAAAGGCAAAACGTACTCGTTTCAGTCGAAGGGAACCGATATGATATCACGTAATGATATCATATCACCTAATATCAAACAAATACGAAACAAACGAAACACTCGACGATTGATCGTCGATTAATACCTAAACCCAAGGATCCATTCATCTTCGATAGCTATCGTCACGGCGTCGATCTCAAACGTCCTTATCTATCCATGATACTACGTTAATGACCAACCACAACCACCAAGTGACCTTAAGTATCAGAGACGTGACTTCGATCACCTACGTGATCCGACCGAATGACAAGATGATCATTGTACGATTCTCGAGCGACCTCGAGTGTGAAGAATACGACTTTCACGACCTCAATCGAGCTTCGAAGCTTCGTTTGCTAGACTTAAAGTACACGATATTTTCTCATTTTTTCGTTATTATATTAAATACAGATGGCATCTCATAATATACAACAAGTTTGATTAATCTGTCCAAAATTCAAGAAAGAATTCGAAGACATCGAACCTTAGGTAACTGAGATAGCTCTTCGCGTCACCAGGCAAACATATTTTTGACCAAGTACCTTGAGTTTTCACCTTCGTTCGGATGAAGCGTTATGTAAAAGTGGAAGTTGTCCCGAACATTCTCGAATATCTTTCCTTTCGCGTAAGCCTTGACGCGAAGGAAGGCTCCGTTGAATCTACCGTGAAAGATTCTGGCCACGTTTTACAGCTTCAGTTTTACGCCATTCTTTCCCCCATGCCATTTCTTCCTTTTCCTTTTATTCTCTCCCTCTCTTTCTCTCTATCGTTGCGACCTGAAATTCCGAAGTCCTGCTCGAGATGCCTTTTCATTTAGAATTTAATGTTTCAAATGTCCCCCCTTGCCCTGGCCTCGGTTTCAGTCACGGGTTCTACGAACCCTTCGAGAAAACGAGGTCGTGGTATAAAAGATATTGTAGTAGAACAAAGGGGAGAGGGAAAGATGTGAAGTAGAAGGTAGGACTGGAGAGAGTCGTTGAGAAAGTTTTTATCGGGCAAACGAATGGACGTTCTCTTGATCGATTTTCCCGATCGATGAAGTGCCGCCCCGCCTCCTCCGTACTATCCCTGTCACTTCCGTGTCCTTTTAACGGCTGTGGGCTTATCTGATATTTTACTTTACTGTTTGAGCGTTCACTGAATTTATATATCCTCTTTCACTTTACCTCTTTTTCTTGTTATTCTTTTCGAAAAATCACGTAACTCCGTAAAAATACCACTGTACAACACTCTACGATTTGTGAAACAGTTGCGACTCTATCGTGTGAGATAACAGATTTCTATCACGAAACATCGAAATTTATATGGAAAAGTTAAAATACTACGAACATGATCTGTAAGTGCGATTCTGCGAACTTGTTGATTTCATCATTTCGTAATTGATAAGATACCAACGTAAAAAAAAATAAATTCTAAATATGCACTTTGAGACACGAAAATTTATATAAATAATTCAAAATTCCAGGCAACAACATCCCAAACTTCCTGATTTCGTAACTAATTAATCCTCGCCTGTAATATCTAATTCCCATCTCCCCTACTTAGCTAATCGTATAATCTATAACTAATCATAATACTCGAGCGACTCTATAATTTAGTATATACAGTCTCGTAGACGGTCTTGCCTCGAAACTAACATCGGAATGCATATTGGCGATACTTGAGTCGTTAATCAGTTGATCCAGGACGAGGTAGACACGAGAATTGTATAATTATATCGATTACTCGGCGATTATACACACTGCAAGGAAATAGGCGTTCGAATGTAATCAGATTCGAAATCGATATGATAATTGGTTGGCGAACGTGTAATAGAATTGTCAGTGTGTCGCGATGTGCATAGAAATCTAGATTGCCGAGCCATAACGGCTGATACACACTCAAGAAGTATTTTCATATACACTTTCTAGCCACGGTGAATGAATCGCGACAACGACTACTTTCACGACAAAGATATACCAATAATCGTACCTTTTATTTAGCCGAAATGGCTCGTCCATGGTGAACACGCTGGTCTCATGTTGGAAAATGATTCTCCGATACTGTTACGAGCAGATTTCACACATACACTCTCGCGTTTGTTCTGTCTGGTGCGAATTTTAAAATAATACCGCCACCCCGCTTCAAATTCTTGCTAATAAACGAACTGTACTTTGATGATACTCGCTGTGGACTCGCTATGTAGGAAATACTTGTACCGAGAAATATACTTGTACCGAATAATATAAAAATCTTTGATCAGCCGTGGATTCTACGTAAGAGGCGAATGAAATTTCTTTAATTTTTACGTTTAAGAGAGAAGGTGCAATTGCTCCTCAACAGCATATAACTGTAATTTATTCATATTAGGTTGTGCGAAATGTTTCTTTCGTTTTATAAGGAAATAATAGACGCACAATGTTTTTTGTTTTATGAGCGAAAATTCAAAGTCGATTTTCTCGAAAACAAAGCCTCGAACGAAAAATTTTTATTCTATATTTTCGACTTCTTTTTTCGCGTAGAATCACCCTCTTTTCGCTTGTACCACCAGTTACCAACCACCCTGTATATCTACATATTTATTATACAAAAGAGGAAATTAGGAAGATAACGTTAAATTTTCTGAATTGCATGAAATTTCTTACAAACGCAGAAGAAATAACGAATTTTATATGATTAAAGAGAAGCTGAAAAGAAATATTGAAAGTCGAGTAAGAATAATTCTCTGAAATGCTTTCGTCTGGAGATTGAGGAGAGTATCGTTGATCACTGGCTTCGTTTGCCTTTGCGTCGTCAACGTTACTTCGATGCTTTTATTCGATGTCGTAAAGCAAGCTTAACATGTCACTTGGCCCGATACAGGGCCGGGTAGGAATGCGCCGAATGAATTGTGGCTTGATCCAACATCAATATTGATTAAGTACACAACGAAGGAGAAGTGTAACTTTTCTCTCGAGGCAACACTCTTACGATGCCTGACACATAATACTCGGATTAAATCTGCAGTGTCTTTAGGTGTAACTGATGAGACTGGCTCAAGGAATCGCGCGGAACATTACTTCTCAGACTGAAAGAAGCTCCTAATACTCTTCGATCAAAGTCTAGATTAAAAGAACAAGCTCTACTAGCTACAGAAAATACGAGGAAACAAGAAATATTGACAAGTCGTAGTATTCTCTTACATCTTAAATTCACGTTAAACCGAAATACCACTTATTTCCAAATATTAAACTTTAAAATGTGATAACTTTTTTTTATTAAAATTCACTACAAGACTCGCGAAGTTTCTCATTCTTTTACAATTGCAAATGAGATTTTTCATGGGAGACTTTCGTTCATAGAAAGCTTTAAAAGAGATATTTTACGTGTATGTCTAATTTTCATAACATAAATTCATCCTGTTCATATATGTATATATGTGTTATATATACATCATGACATATATAAAAACTCATTTCGTGAAATATTTCACGAACTATATTTTCCCTTGAATCTATGAATATATTTGTGTTTTTCAGTATGAATATTCTTTCGTGTAAAAATATTGAAAAAAATTATGTGTTTCAAGATACAGAATGTCTTCCGTTTAGCGTGCCCGTAGATGACATGTCTCACGAACAGATTTTTATCTGAATTTATGACTGAGATATCTCGCACCTTAATGAAAAGACACGCGAGATGTCTCGTCCATAACTCCACATGAACAACGTTACGTAGCAAGATATCTCATCCAGAACATCGCATGAACGACATTGCGCCACGAAATATCTGCTCCATAGATGCAAAACAGCTTAATTTATTGCCACGTCATCTCTCCAAAGAAATGCTCGCGAATATAGCTTTTAATTAAATAGAAAAATAAAATTTTAGTCTCTAAATTTCTTCGACATTTCGTTTGATCTCCGAAACTGTTGTTGTAAGTTCAAGTAAGTAGGAATATTCCTTTTTAAAGACGAAAGTTTCAGTTGTAAAATTTTTGCATATTTTCAATAATACATTCTATACATCTTTTGCAATAGCTTGCAAAAAGTATTTACACACGACTACATTTATTATTGAACATTATAGGAGATGATTGAACGCAACATAGATAAACAAAAATATAGCAATTTCCTTAGAAATAATTTATGTTTCTAAATATGTTGCTATTATTTATCCCATTGTTACTATTTATTATAATTTATGTTGCTAAATTCGCAACGATCTCTCTCACGATCAAATCGCAGTCGATCCTCTTTTGCTGAACGCAAATGGTTGCGCAACGATTCGGCCAATCCCCATGCCGGTTTGCCAAGAATAACGGGCCCGTTTCATTTTGTTGCAGCGTCGACATGCTTCACGTCGAGAGCCGTGTCGAGTAGATAGTGAAAGGACATTTAATTCCACGTCGTGGCACGTAGCAGAGTCGGTGCAGGACACTGTCGGTAGCGAAAGGAAATCCACGGATCTCGTGCCTAGCATGTCTAGGGGATGGACACTTAGAGAGCTTTATGAATCGTGCGCGACGCCGGTAAGTGAAGCGTTTATTTCTGCCTTAATCGCTGCGTTTGTCTCTGGTGATAAACAACCGAAGCCTTGTCTTTTCCCGCAAGCTTACATCGTACCCAGACAAGTGTCCATTTATTCCGAGAGAGCGAAATGAGTCGAGCAGTAAATTTCTCTCGGTCCCCCTCGTTGCCTCTCAATCTGTCCTGCCTCACGATTTTACTTGGTTTCGCCGAACCCTAGCCTTCGACCACCGTGGAAAATTGCGTCCCCGATCCTTCAGACACAACTACGATGGATCGTTTCTCAAGCATTCTGTTCACCGTTTAAGAAAGAATATACGTTGGATTTAAGATTATTCCCTCGTTTTCAAGATGCTTGTTTCACGTGATTGACGATAAAGTGGCTGACTCAAGTATTTCACTACTTACCGCAGAATAGTTTTAAGCATATTGTAGCATCTTTACTACAATTAGTTTATTTACAATAAATGGATTAAACATAAATTACAATTAAACTTAAACGGTGGAACTAATCACAATAACGTATTATAATTAGGACAACTAGATAGTTAATTTGCAACTCTCGTTACCACGGATTCAACGCTCTCTCTTACACGGACCACGCTCTCACGACAACGCTGGCAACACTCTCTTGACAACGCAGTTCGCACTCTCTGACTTCTCGATTTACACTCTTTGACTTCTCAACCAACACTGACTCTTAATTCGTCTTTCTCCCTTAGCATCTCTTTGTCCTTTGTGTTAGCCCCACCACGCACGTGTTCCGCAGCCGCTCGTGGCCAGGGTCACGCAGGCCTTTTCCGCGAAACTATTCGATCGAAGGACGATACATTGTTGGGCCTGTCGACATCGGCTTTCTCGCGACATTGTTTATAATTCGCCAGATATGTCTCAGGCCTTTCGTCCACGATACTACAATATATTACGAGAATTGATGGATTAATCTAAAGATACGACTAAATTATGTGGAACCACGTTCACATAGAATGGAAGAAAAGAAAAATTCGATATTTACTGGTGTCTACAATTACCAAAACAGCATCGTTAAGGATAAAATACAGATATCCGTCACAAGTAGTAAAGCTAATGGTTGAAGTAGTTTGTACCGCTTCAAGGCGGCTGCATGTGTCTGACTTATGCTATACATTTCTACTGTACAGTTATCTATTGTCACCGGCTACGTGGAAACACATTTAGCCCGTTCTCTATTATCTCTGCACAGCACCAAGTTTCCATTATTTATGCGTTTTACTACCGGCAAAGTTTACAGTCGATGCAGTTAACAGTTGTTGTAGTTTGCGCCCGCGGCTGACTTATCCCGTACCATTCTACCGGCGCCTTCTCTGATTATATCTATGATCGCGAAGGCGAAAATGTATCAGAAACTATTTGTTTCGTCCTCGTAGAAATTCTTACGCAAAACAATCTCGATGAGTGCCGATTCAGTTCGTGCCATTTAATTACAATAGACGCTTTATCAAAATTTGTATTAAACGAGAGATCGATCGATCGAAGGGAAAGCAAGCTGATTTTCGTATTATCCGATTTCTAAAGTTTCTACAGTTTTACTGCTCGATGCCTAATAATAAATCGAAGTACTTTATACTTAAGCTAAACTGCAACGGCGTAGCTGCCGTTTTCATTTCGTTCGGGGCGTGAAACAAACCGCGTATGATCTACGCGAGCAACAGGTTACCATAGAATTTTTCCAGAAAGTCTACAATCTCTACAAATCTCTCTACTCTGACAATGTTGATTTCGAGTTTCTCGGCAAATAACAAGGATTAAAAATCCCCGCATCTTTTCATATTATATCGCGCGTTTCGACCTATCTCGTTTTTCGCTTTCAGCGTCGTCGATAACGATAATCAGAAAGAGAATACGAAAAAACCACGTAATCGGATTACCGATAACGAATACAGGCTTCACAATAGGGATACGATAAGGAAAGTTCCGAAAGAAGGTTTAACGTTACTTCATAAAGCGGTGAGTGTTTCTCCACTATTCAGTTAAAGGCATAAAAGCCAAGAGAAAAGGGGCGTGGCTGAATACCTCCGTAAATGAAGGATTATTCTTCCTGCTTGATAAACCAGCGAGGGCCCCGCAATGAAACTCGGTCGCGTTTATTAAAACAAAGTTAAGTCCCGTAAGCATAGACGGGCTAAGAGAATCGAAAACAAGCGGACAGTAAATTTGCGTTATCTCCTCATCTCCTTGAAAATCCCCTTTCCCATCCCGGGGACGGATTTCCCGTTAGTTTGCCGAGGAGAACGCGGATAGGAAATTACGTCTGTAATATTACCTGTTACAGACTATTGGCTCTTATTCCGGTCTGAACGATAACTTTGTACGGCCTCAAATGCCATTCGCCGCAAGAAATATGGAAGGTCTTTCGGGAATAAAGCACCTTCAGCATTTTCGGTCTCCACTGACGCAACAGTGGCTCTCAAACTATTCTCAAACTTTCATTTGTAAATATTCCAAGAAATATTGTATAAAAAATGTGTCGAAGAGAAAATTGTTTGAAATGAAATTATTAAGGATAAGATACTTTATTTTATCTTTCCTTAATTTGTGGTTTGTTAACCCCTTCTTTGACAAATTGAAATCGTTGACGACCCTCGAATTTCTTTAAAAAGAATTTTACGCCATTAAGTCAATGAAGAATTGTATAACATGATAAAGGCTTTGGAAAGTATTTTAGAATTTTTTCAAACTTTTTTGAAGTCTAAGACAATTGAATACTTAAGCTTGGGTCGTAAACGAATCAGTTTATCTACGGATTATGTAAATGTATATCTATTTGCCTACGGAGTTAACGAAGAATATCGTAGCGGAATTTCTTAAATCTCTTTATACTGATACATTTTCAATTTCAAAATATAAGATACTTCTATCTATACAATTTTTCTATTTTCGGTCATTTCTAAGATACGTAAATGAAATAAGACTACTCGCAATCTCGAATACAGTTTACATTCTTCCAATTTGGATGATAACCGATAAAAAGATTCGTACGTAAGAGATGTGCTAGCAAATACATTTTACCAAAATTCTTGCTATAATTCTTTATTGATCTTTTCCTCTTCGAAATTGTCGTTCAAGAGAAAATTACAAGCACGTTGAATTACTTGTTACAGCAGCTTTATTAGTTATCGAAGCTCGAAGTAAATGAAGTAAACCGAGGGAAAAAAGAAAACGGAAAGAGCCGTTGGTGTAATCTAATTTGCTGATGCGACAAGAAGAAGAGTCTAAATTGGTGGGAATGGGGTAAAAAGCGGCATCGATCGATCCACGCGGGAAAATTGGAAATACCTTGGTCCAATCTCGAATCAAACTGTTCTGCGGTGAATCAAGATAAGGAGGATCTCTCCTTACTCCACTCGGAAATGTCGACGTTTAAGATCGTTCGAAAGGATCTCTTAAAATTTCTCAGAGTGTCACCGCGAATTCATCGATTGTACTGCACAGTGAAGACACGGATCATCCACGTTCCCTTTTTCAATCTGCTACATTTTTACGAGTTCTTTTACGGATAAATAAGCTTTCGGAGATATTCGATAGAAAATCTTAAATTAATTTAGGAAACTTACGAATACTTGCGAGATAAGAGAAAGAAGATTTGGAGTTTTGCGCTTCTTAATTCGACCATTACGAAATGGATAAAATTCCATAGTTTTTTTTTTCTTTTTTTCTACACCTCCAAAGCAAACTTTCTTTTGACGAGGAGAAAAGAAAAAACGGATTCCAACCAAGGATTCGTATTTCAGTATTTCACAATGGTAAGGAAAAAACCGAGACGAAAGTACTGAGGGAAAATACGAGGATATGTTGGAGGATTTTCTTTATGCTTGTACGTCTGATAGAAGGATACAAGACAGCGTGTGGATCGAAAAGATCCAAGATATATATAGCGTATGGTATATTAATATTTAATAATCGGAAAGGAGAAAAGCTCAGCGGGATACATATCGCACCGCATGCATATTGAACGTATAAAGACGCGAACTATAGAAGAGGAGAAGAGATGTACAAATGGCAGAAATGTGATAGCAAAGTTGAAAATATGAACCTTTTACTTTCGTGGCATACCTAGATCGAAATATACGTGCTTGAATAACTCACACGTTCTGTCTCCGAGAAGAATACAATTTTGTACTTGTACACATACCACAATGAAAAATCTTGCTTATTAAATAAAAATGGTAACGAGAAGAATATTTACATATACAGTACCTCGGAAAAGTTAGGTAAAGAAAAACTTAAAGAAAAAAGCACAGACAATTATTAATAGAAATTGGTATACAACATAAACGTATAATTAGTAATCACACTACAATACATATTCGTATCGTGGCTTTTTAATATAACGAATAATTGACTGTGAATAATTGACAAAATACTTTGACGATATTTACCAAGTTTATGTTTGCAACGAGTATCTCGCAACTTCCCTATACATTTTCAATCTCATTTCAAATTGTATCAATACAATCATGATATTCGTATACAGAACTAATGAAATTTCAAAAGGTTTTATACAACGCATAATGATATATTCGTCACAAGTTTCTACAAGTTTCAAATGTAAAGCGATACGAGTCATAATATTTTTCTCAACTTTGTCGTGATCGCTAATTGATTCATTGAAAATATAATTATTTAAACCAATGGGATCGAAAAGGTTCAGAATTCAAAATTATCTTTCCATTAACATTTTTCACCCTTTTCCTTCTGTCGATGCAATTAATTACTACATTTTATATTTATGAAATTATCAACGATATCCATTGCCCGTCAATTGTCAAGTTGTCATTGAGTACGATAACAATTAAGATAATTAATTGCCGTTCCGTTATTCATGCAATTTTCCAGTTCCTTCTCTCCTCTGTTTCCACTTTGTTCAATCAATGTGCGAGAACTCTCAGAGGGAATCGATATATTCATCCTGTTTCAGTTCTTCAATGCGAAAAATGAATTAACTCGTTATTTGAATCTTGTCGATTCGTATCGGCATATTAAACAAAATCGTCCTTTATTTTCTTTTTAACTAATATCCGGGAACTTGTTTATTTTCGACAAGATCTATTTTAATAAATCAGAATGCAATGATTGTACTCTTCAAAATCATTGCAATTATGCATAATAGCATAATAATAGCTACATATAGATAAAAGAAAATTTTCGAAATTCCTACGAAGGCATATCGTTCCAGTTCTTACCTCGCAGCAACACTCACATTTTCTGTCGGATCATTGGATTTTCATTAAAATCCAACTCGAATCGTAGCTATGCATTACGACGCAGAAACCACTATACTCATCATTCTCGAAGAAATTCCTTGAGTTACACGTTACAATCCGGCTCGAAAGTGGCACTGTAAAATGGTAAACATCCTGAACAATTCACCAGGCGTTGTTCCAGAATTGGAAACCAGAAATCCTCTGTTTACGCTCCGAGATTCTCGGGTCTGTGAATTTCCCGCCGTGTAGCCCCACCCCGATCGCCCTACTATCGTCCCTTTCGGATAAGAATTCTAATATCACGTCGCCCACCCGAGACTTCTCGCTCAGTCTTGTTTTTGCGTTCGACTTTGGTGCCTCGTCGTATAATTCTTCCATATCTTTTTTTTAAATATTTCATTCAGTGAATTTATTTCGTTTCATTAATTAAAACGCAATATGGTATAATTAGTGTATCATTAATATATTAGTGTACCAGTGTATATGTTACGTCTTCGTACAATCAACGACACGGTGAGTTTTACTTTATATTTTTTGTAAATATCTGTTTCACGAGAAAATATTGTCTTGTATATTAAACGAATTTCAAATTTAAAGAGACATTCGTTTAAATAAATTAAAACATATTTCTCTATTGATTAATATGTAAAAATAATATTGAACATTGCG